TATGTCTAAGGAAGATGAGATCATCCATATTAACTGCTGCTCACAGGTCAAGTAGGATGAAGCCTGAGAATTGAGTCATTGGGTTTAGCAATATGGATAACATTGGTGATCTTAATAACAGGGCCAGGGCTAACTAAGACTTGTCTTGGGTGCCAAAAATCTCAGTATTTTAATTCAATTAAATGATATCTTAATGTGATATTAAAAAATAAAAATGCAAAAATCCACATTGAACACAATATCAAAAGTTTAAATAATGATAGAATCGGTAATAGTGCTGAGGCAAAAGGTAATATTGAATCTGTCTGTGTTTAAGTCTTTGATAAGTTCATTGTGACTTTTTGCATTAATTTTGATTTAAAAAAATTATTTCTCAATTATAGTTGACATATAATATTATATTAGTTTTAAGAGTGCAACATTTATGTACTTTATAAAGTGACCGCCCTGGTAAGTCTAATACCTATCTGACACCATACATAATTATTAAATACTATTGACTGTATTCTCTATGCTGTGCTTCACGTTTCTGTGACTGTTTTGATAACAGGCAATTTGTACTTCTTAATCCCGTGAAAATTATTTATCTTAATTGATGAGTTTTGGGGGCCCCTTAAATTTTGTACTCAACACAAGGGCCTCATTTACCTCAACCTAACTCTGCACCTGCTTAATAAAACCTGTTTCATTTGAGAGATGAGGGTGAAAGCCTAATTGGAGCTAGAGAGGGCAGTGCTGGTGGATTGGGGAGAGAGAAAAGAAATGGACCAGAAAGGGGTGGATGATTGCTCCTTCACCCTGGATCCATCAATAAGAAGAGATAGAGCAGATGGGCAGTTCAGAGTCCACCCACAGCTGTCTTCCCACTTATGTGTAACCTTACAAAGAAATAAATGGTTGTTCTTGTACACTTCTGAGATTTGGGAGTTGTTACCCCATAGCAAAGATAACCAATAAAGGTTCTTACTCCTTAGAAATAAAAGTTTGAGCTATTTCACTCAACAAAGAAGCTTAAATAGCAGGGGTACTGTTTTAAGGCAAAGAGAATTCAGGGTGTGGCAAAAGTAGATTTACAGTAGTGAGTGTTAGGTTAGGTGGCTCAGGAGGCGGCGAAGGAAATAAAGAGAGTTGATCAGAAAAGGAAGGAAGGAAGGAAAGGTTATTCTGTGTCCCCGGGAGACCCATGTATCCCCAAAGACAGGGCATGTGGATTCACACCAACAGGAAGGGGGGCGCTTTTTTATACTGCGGTTGGGTGAGGGGCGGGGACATGAGCTGAGGTATTCAGCTGAGGAAGTTACAGCTGCAGGGGTTCAGCAAGGTGTTCACGAAGGAGTCAGTATCTGTGTGGGGGTCCTGGAGAAGCCAGTGTCTGTGTCTGGCACGCTGATCTGTTAGAAATGCCAGGGGGAGTCCATTATCTCGTCACATGTCTGCCTGTATCCGATCCTGGGCTCTCTCTGACTTAACAGTGAGTATTAATTTTGTATTAATTATTTTATTATTTTCCATATGAACAACTGTAAGCCTACTTTCACCCCACCCAGTATAGAGTGCAGAGTGGAGGAGGGTAATCATAAATATTGATTACAGAAAACATGGCCAGTTGCAGAATTGAAGACTGCAGCCTATACTACTAATTTCTTCTTCATTCTGTTTTTAATATTTTTAGTCAGTTGAGCTCGTTTTCTCTTGTTATTTTCTTTTTCCTGTTATAATTTATAGGAAGTTGGTTGTGGTGAAATTTGTAATTTGGCTCACTGTTTGTCGAGTGGCCGGATAAAACAGTGAAAAACTATAGGAGAATAATTATAAACTAGATGAAATAATTCATGTGGCTTTGGGAGGAGGGGAGCAATTTTGTGACGGTACCAGAAAATGGTATCACGGACCTAAAATTTTTGTTTTGGAATGGTAAATATGAAGAGGCGTTTATAAGTGGATCTTAGGTAGTAAAAGCTGTGAACTCTAATGTCTTTGGAAAGTATCAGAAAAGGGATAGGAGGCACCAGTCTTTTTACTTTATGGAACAGTAGGGGGCAAATAGAGTCCTCTGACTGACCCCTAGAAACTAGTGAGATGGCTTCTGTTCGAGGCTCATCTATAAAGGGATTTTCTACCTCGGCTTAGAATTTTTAGGGAGGAACTAGACTCATTTCCAGTTAAAGACTTTTAAGGCATCAGTGCTGAATATCCAACTCTGTGGTCCTTGTATAACATCATATGTCTTCTTATAAAACTATACCCTTGTGAGACTTGGATACATTCTCCCTTTGCTTTGAGACTCTATTATTCCAGCACTCTCCCAGTTGTGTTAATGACTGATGTACTTCCTGCTTGGATATTGTTGGTTTGTTACCTAAGTTGGTTTCTTTTGTTTTCAACCAAGAACCCAGACAGATATACCGAGATTCTGAAGAAAGGTAATAAACCATTTTGACACAGGTTTATAAAATTGAAGCCAGAACTAAACCAAGTCCAAAAGAAGACAGAAGGATGTTATGGAATGATTTCAGAAGTCATTTTGTAAACCCTGTTACGAGTACTCCCACTTATGGGAATCTAGCTCACAGAAGTAAAATCATGGCAGTTAAGGGCATGTGTATTTTTAGGATTTTTTTTTGACAGGATCTTTAATGACAAAACTGGAAAAAAAGCAAACTACCTAAACAGGTGATAAGTCAAACAAATTACTGTATATTAGAGGCCCTATGCATGAAAATTTGTGCAAAAGTAGGCCTTCCTTCCCCCGGGTGCCAGCACCGGCTTCCCTCCAGCACCCGGGACCTGGGATGCTGGCACTGGCTTCCCTCCGGCACCCAGGACCCGGGCTTCCCTCCTCCCACTGCTGGCAGGCATCTGGGACCCCGGCCGGCTTCCCTCCGGCCCTGGCTTTGTCAGGAAGGACGTCTGGAATGACGTCTGGAAGACATCTGGTCTAATTAGCATATTATCCTTTTATTATTATAGATTATATGAGAAAATAATATGCAGCCACTAAAAATAGTAAATTAGATTGATGTCAGTTGTCTTTTGGAAAATTTGATAACTATTTTTTTCCCGGAGATTAGAAAAGTATATGGAAAATGGTCAAATTTTTGTAAACATACCAGTGCTCAAGGCAAAAGCAGAGAAACACCCCAACTTTGCCCCCCTTCTCCCCCCAGCGTGGCTCAGTGGTTGAGCGTTGACCTATGAACCATGAGGTCACAGTTCGATTCTTTGGTCAGCGCACATACCTGGGTTGCTGGCTCGATCCCCAGTGCAGGGCATGTGGGAGGCAGCCAATCAATGATTCTCTGTCATCATTGATGTTTCTATCTCTCTCTCCCTCTCCCTTCCTGTCTGAAATCACAGTTTCCCCTATAGCCTCACAAAAATGCCTATTAATACACAGAAACAAAGAAGAAAGCTCATAGCACCTCAAAATAAGTTTGAGCATCAACCTAATTCCAGAGTTTTAGAGGAGTTTCCACTGACTGTCAGGTTTATGAAGTTGAACTAAGAATCCTTGTCAGTGACCCATCAAACAATGACTGGGCGCTGTTCTTCCTGTCATCTGCACTATGACTGTGCTTCTTCTGGGAACGCACACCTTTAAAACTGTCACTAGGAAAGCACAGTACAATTAGGCTGAGGATCTTCTAGTCTTATGACTCCTATAACTTATTATGATGGTAATGCTAGGGAAGCATAAAATCTTTTTGAGATTCTGTTTCTCTCACTATGTTATGAAAACTTTCGCCTGGTGGGCATTTTGAAAGGTGTTTGTTAAAGACCATAGGATGTTCTCCCTTTTGTTCATTAAGTGACCTAAAATAAATGGTGAATGGTGCCATCACTCTAGATCAGGGGTGGGCAACCTTTTTGTGAGTGCGTGCCAAAACCAGCAAAATCTCTGACTCAAAATTCTTCTGCGTGCCAACCCTAATTTTTTGAGAACATGTTACACCTACTTGATATCTCTTAAGGTGTGTACGTATGTGAAGAACCTTGAAGAAATAATAAAATTCATTTGAGCGACAAAAACACAGTATATGATGATGAAAAATACATTTAGTTTTTAATGTATACATGTACGCTGATAGTTCAACAGAAAACTTTATGACTCTGTTTGATATTATCAGTGGGACTTTTGCTGCTGCATCACTGATGGCAGAGATTTTACATCAGGTTTATATTTCATGACCTGCAGAGATATGCACGAGCTACTACTTTCATCCGTCAGGCTACTCCTATTAAGAGACTTAACAAAATTCATCACTGAGATCAAAGATTCACAAGCATATGTGGATGAAACCAAAACACTGGTCGGATCTAGGAAGACAGGGAGAGTTAAGGCAGAGGCATAGAAATTGCTCTTCCCCTCTCTCGTCAATCCATGTCTATGGTCTTTAAGATAACTTGTTATGTAAAATTATTTATTTATCTAAGATGCACCTACACTGAATTTATCTGAAAAATAAAAAAGTCGATATTAAGAAAAAAATTGTAAATGGAAGATTATAAGAGAGGGTTTCGCGTGCCAGCAAAAGTTACTGGCGTGCCATGTTTGGCACGCGTGCCATGTACGTGTGCCAGGGGTTGCCCACCCCTGCTCTAGATCATCTTGAGTATAGGAGACATAGTACATATGGTGCAAGTTGACTCGGATGATAGTCTCTACCACTTGTCATATATCAGGGCTTGTTTGGAATGACTTTCACAGTGTCACACAGTCTGAGTTAAGATAATAGGCTTTACTGGGGGAGGCCTACAAATCAAGGACTAGCAAGAGTGCATGTGGCACCTGTGTTTTCTTCATCCCTTGGAGATAATGCCAGGGCCTAGCAATCTAATAGAAACAGAGAATATTTGCATTAGCATGGAGGGTCTCCATTTTCCTGTCACTGTGTCTTCTTTTTTTTTTTTTTGTACACAAATGTTTTCTCAAACATTCCCTTTAAACACAAGGAATGAATTCCAAATCTTCATAAAGATGAATTAAAAATGAAATCCCTCCAGTATAGTGTGTGTAGTCCCTGTGTTCTTGGTCACTACTGGCATTTACTGTTTAACATCAACATCAAAGACAGGTTATTTAAAAATCATGCTACTGAATTTCTAGCTCTTCCTCTAGGACCAGTTTTATGCTCATCTGCAATGTTTAAAAGTGTACATCACCAAGTCGAAGCAAGTATAAGGTGTGAAGTAGCTGTGCATTAAACACAAAATAAACAACAAAATTATAAGATATAGTCAAGTTCATCACGAATATAGGTGTTCTTATCATCATTATAGATTCTTGGGTAATGTGCTATGAGAGCATCCTGTGAACCAATGTAGATGGAGTTGTAAATTTTCCAATACACATCTCTGACCTTCCGGGCTGGGTGAAACAAACCCTGTAAACAATACTGCAACATTCTACATGGTCCAATAGCAACTCTCAAGCCCTTCAGGGCTCCCATAACTGCCTGAATTACATGGGGAGATGTCTCAAACACATTGGGCCATACATAGTTCAACAAACAATTCAGCAAATCTTCACAACCAAATCCATAAACCCCCAGTGACATGTGTTGCACCACCGCACTAGCTGTCTGTCTGTGTACAAGGTCCCTATCCATTAAAGCATCTTCCAGTAATGGTGTGACAGCACAAATGTAGTCCTTGCCCATTTCACCGATATATTCGAACAAGAAGGAAAGGGACTTTAACACTCCATTTTGAACATTGAGTTCAGGAACTCTGTATTCGTTCATTAAGGCAGGGAGCATTGTGAAGGGTGAACACGTTTCAGCGACAATAGCTATTGCTACAGTGGTACACTCTGTTCTGCCTTTCCTGAACTTTGAGGTTGTTTAAAAGTGTAGCCAACACATCATGAGGGCCGATGGCCTTTGCAATATAACCAAATGTGTTGACTGTGGCTCTACGAATAGCTTTTTTGTGAGCTTTTAAGAGCTCCAAAAGCTCAAAGCAAATCCTCATCCACTCCCTTGCTGACACATATTCAGCTCCCCTGTCAGCAATACGCCCAACAAGATCAATACAGTTCTCTTGTACTTTTTCATGCCTGTTCTTTAAGATGGGAGTGAGTCTAGGCAGCAGATCTTTAATTGGTGGAGTCATCTTATGCATACCTATTACATTCACAATGGCCTTCAGTGCTCCAAGAATGCTGCCCAGTACTTCAGGGTACTCTTCACCCAAATACTCATACAAAACAACACCCAAGTGCCCCATCAATTTTTCCTCTTGGCAAGTCTTCATAACAACAGAAGTTTGAGAGATCAAGTCAGCTGCCTGTTGCCTAACTTTGCGGATTTGTTATTTAAACGCCACAAAACTGTACCACAGATCTGAGGCAAGTAAGGTTTCACCCGTTTGCCAAGTGCATTGACCACTGTGCCAAATCCGTTCAACATTACTGCGTCCTCTATAGTCTGTTCTTGAAAAGCATAAAGAATGCTATCAATCAGTTGTTCTTCAAGTTTGTGATCAATATCTCCCAAGTTGCCCATAATCTTCTCAATTGTTTCCATCACCATTTTTCTGTACTGTTCAGCTTCATCTTTCAGATCATCCACAATCCTGGATATAATTTCTGCTGCTCCTACTTTGTTAGCCAACTCCACAGTAGTATCAACTAACTGTCGATAATTTCTTCTATCTAAAGCCATTCTGTGTTGCCAGAAATGTTTAAAAAAGGGAGGAAGAATCTCTGTTTTAATATAGTTTGCTTCTACACCATCTGTTCCATAGCACTGCTTTACCACCTTCAGAACAATTTTCTTCATTTCTTCATCAGGAGATTGGAATTCTCGAATAAGGATTGACATCACTTCTCTCGTATAGTAGTTGGCATATTCTGAATCCATGAGAGGAATAGGATACCCAATAGCCTTTAAGAAGGCAGCCAGACCCTTTCCTCTGTGTTGGCGGATACCCTTCCATAGAGGCTTCAACACAGAATCAAAAGATTCGATACCATAAGGAGTTGCTGCTTCAGCCAAGGCAGCAATGGCCAACGCACTAATGGTCCGAACTTTCTGCTGCTCATCCACAAGACCGTGTTCAATGATTTCAACTAAACTTCTCAGATGTGGCAAGATGGCACAGCCCATAAGAATAGCTATCTGCTGTACAATCTTAATACCAGTGTGTCTCGCTTGCCAGGACTTCTTGCTTTTGCACCCAGCTTTGAAGAAGGGCAATAGTGAAGGAATGCCCAGGGCAGAAGCTACAACAGCAAAAGCTCTAGCTGTTGTGTTACGAACATATTCATCCATATTATCTATATCGGGTCTCATGGTAGAGATCATAGTAGCCAGACCAGCAGCCTTTGCCAAATTAGAAATAATCTCTCGGCCTTCCACTCTAGCATAGTAATCTTCATCAATCAGCAATGGTTCAATGACCACAAGGATCTTATGCATATATGGTCGAACTAAGTCATCAAGTTTGTATAATATTCTATCAATAACTTTAACAAGCAAATGACGTTCTTGATCCTCAAGTGTAGGAGACATCAGTAGAGGAAGGATCTGATTAAACAAAGGACCAGCTCCAAATTCACGAGCTTTATCAGTAATCTGATGCAATGCAGCCTTTCTCATTGGAGGTGTACCATTCTTAATTTTTAAAAGCAATTTCATTATTTTTCTCTCTTTTTGCTCTTCTGGACTAAGTGTTGATTCATCAACATCAACCAAAAGTTTATCAAAGTACTGAATATCATCAGGTTTTAAAAAGGGAAGATTTCCAGATGGTTGGTCATTGACACTTTTCATAGTTCTGTCTTCAGTTTGCATGTGGAAACCAGTCATACCACCCAAAGGTGTTGGAGTCGCTGTGAGCTTTCGAGCTGGAGTTCGAATAGGAACATAACCAGCTGGAGGAGGAAGTACCTTATATCCTTCTGAAAACATAGCATCTAATTCTTCATCAGAAAGTGGGTGATTTCTCTCATCAATTTCTCTCTCCCAACGCCAAGCCTGAAGCTGTTCAGGAGTCATACTCATTATGTGACCTGGAGTAGGGGTAGCCATGTTCATGGCTGGTGTGCCAATTGGTGTTCTCCCAGGGGTCAGAACAGGAGTGCTTCCACCCATCTGACTGGCTGGTGTTTCATCCCAACGTGATTTCCTTTTACTGGCTCCAGGAGTGGGTGTTTCACCAATTGAATCTCCACCTCGATCTGTTCGAGGCGTCTCAGCCCATCCACTTCCATGCCCAGGAGTGTCTCTTTCTGTCTTGGGGGTCTCATCCCAGCGGTTTTTACGAGCACTGGAAGTTGCACCTCCATGGCCCGGTGTTGCATGGCCTGGTGTATCACCGCGTCCAGGAGTAGCAGCTCCCGCTAGTGTGTGACTTGGTGTAGGAGCCCATATTTTTGAGCCTGGGGTTGCTCCAGGAGTCTCACTTCCCTTTGCATGGCCTGGCGTCTCATCCCATCTTAAGGAAGGGGTATGTCCAGGGGTCTCTGCTTGATCCCAACATGACAGCTTTTGGGGAGTGGCACCAGGAATCTGATCAGCTGTTTGATCCCAACGGCGTTTTCGTTTTGAGGGAGGCTGGGATGCTGCTGCTCCACTGATGACTTTCAGTTCTCCAGCTTTAGCTTTTTCTGCTAGTTGTTGCCTAATTTCTCTCTCTTCTTTAGTCAAATGCTGCTCTCGCATTACATCCATGTAAGTTCTAGCATTCATTTTAGGATCAGGGGTCTTCCCTCCATCTGCAAAAGGATCAAGACGCTCTGGGGAAATTATCATGGTCCGCCTGTGCTTTTTGTATTCATCTTCCCGGTCAGCAATCTTCGGAGGTCGGTGCTCAGCAAACGGATCATACTGTTCCGTTGACTGAGGTATATCATTAAGCAATGCCACAGGGGCATGATATCTTGGCTTCTTCTGACCAAGCAAACTTGTAGATGATGAGTAGTCATCGTCATCATCTTCAAGTTCACTTGCAGCAATTGATGTCACATACCCAGTAAATCTGCTGTCACTTCCACCATATATTCCTGGTCATAATAACCTGTAGAATCAAGGCCCACTCCTTGAGCTTCATCAAGAGCTGCCTTCTTGCCTTGAATTTCTCGAATCTGTGCTTCAATATCTTTGTGAGTCTTGGCAATCTTCGCCATTTTGTCCACTCAAACACACAGGCGGAACTGGCGCTCCCAAGCCCTTCCTCTAGCCGCCGCTGCCACAGAGGAAAATAGCTGGGGGCTGGCCTCTGTGCATGCGCCCCGCGGGAGTGGGCGCCAATTGTTGGGGTCCAGCCCCAGCAGGTCCAGGGGTTCCCAAAGGTGTGGACGGAGTCGGCAAAGAAGGAATGACACAGAGGCAGTGTTCAGTTGATCAGCAGCCTATCCAGGTTCCAGCCAGGATCTCCAGCTGGTTCTGTGTCTTATAGTCTTGTTACATCTGTATTTATACCAGTTGATTTTAATCCTATCAATCTCTATTCCAAAGGTTAGGGCGTTTCTTATCTCCATTCCAGGGAGTAAAGATTATGTAGCTTAAGCGTGATTGTTCATAGTTAAAGTGATTAACTACCTGCCTGGCACTTAGTTAAGGGGTTTTATCCCTGCACTAACTTCAGGGAAAAATCCCTACCTGGGGAAACAACCTTTCTCAGAGAGGTGACCTTGGTTAAAACACATAGCGCCAAGAAGGGGAGCAAACATATTAAGAACAGTATGCCATATACGCCAGGTCCCTTGAAACATATGCTGTGCAGATGTTTCTTCCCTGCAGGGACTGTGTCAAGCAGCAAGGATAGACCGGCTTCTGGCAAATTCCCCCTTTTTTATTTTTTTAAATGATAGCGCATGTAAATCAGCGGCCACCTCTCAGATTGGGTTGTTTAAGACTCGGAAGAAGACTGACAAGCAGTGATGGCGAGCCTAGCTATATATAGTGGATGGAGTGCACAAGGAGCCTTGTTTCTGTAGAAGGTTGCTGGCCTCTTCAGTCAAGGGATTTCAGCTGTCCTTAAGTTGGTGGTTTGGTTGTCCTTGTTGATCCGGCTAGTGGGCCGCGTCATTGGCGACCGGCTTCCCGAAGGTCAGCGAGTTGAAGGGCTGCATCAAAGAGTCCATCAGGGCCGCGCTTGATGGTGGTGTCGGTGTCCGAGGAGGGGTCAGCTGTGCCCTCTGGGTCGGCTGATATGGAAGATACCTGGGAGGAGGAGGAGGAGGAGGCGGAGATGGAGGGTAGTAGAGAGAAAAAGAAGAGAAAGCAAAAGAACTACAAGGCATGGAAGTGTTTAGAAAAAAGAGGGAGAAGAAAGGGAAGAAGGCAGCATCCTGACACAGCCCTTTCCTTCAGCTGCCACTTTCCCTGTGGTCCAAGGTAGAAATCACTGTGTCTTCTTATAGGCGCAGTGATGGCGAACCTTTTGAGCTCGGCATGTCAGCATTTTGAAAAACCCTAACTTAACTCTGGTGCCGTGTCACATATAGAAATTTTTTGATATCTGCAACCATAGTAAAACAAAGACTTATATTTTTGATATTTATTTTATATATTTAAATGCCATTTAACAAAGAAAAATCAATCAAAAGAATGATTGGTATCATAGATTCGCCATCACTGTTATAGGGCAATTGTGAGAGAAATATTGCCAATGGGCATACAGCCTACTGAGTCACCAGGAAGTCTGGATTTAGAAGCCAACTGTTTGCATAAATTGTCTGGGAAAATTTGTAGCCCAATACTGAGATTCTTTAGGGTGGGGGGGGGGTTTGGGGGGGGCAATTCTATAGAAAGTTGAAATCCCTTCTCCAGAGAGGAGAAAGACACTGGTAATGTGGTCATTGGAGTTAGGTATAGTTTCTTTGGCTAGAGGAGGGGAGAGATGGTATCAGCAGGCTCATTGTTCAGGCAATTCAGAGAGACCTTGTTGCTATACCACAGTGCGTCATCTCAGATGAAACAGTCATCTCTAGATAGATGTATTTTTACCAACCCCCTACATTAAGATGGAGATAGGGAAACCTTAAGTTATGCTTGGACCTTTACAACATTACAGGGAGTGAAATTTACTAGCAGAGGGCTGAAAATATAACTGTTCTTTTAAATTATCTTTTATATTTGTCCACATGTTTACTATTTTATAGGTTCTTCATTTCCTTTTGTTTTTTGACAACAGAAGGACAATATCAAATATCTAAGGGCTCAGGAGATATACCTCACATCTAATCAAACACAAATAGACCATAAATTAACCTCAGGCATTTGAATGGTCAATACAAATTATAAATTCAAGAAAAGTGCTGTCATTCTAGAAATTCACTGTGGGTGTTTCTTTAGTCAATTTCAGGAAGCCTGTTAGATGTTATAGTTTTTGTTGGATTTTTTTTTTATCAAGGAGATTAAAGTTGTTTCTATATTTCACCTCAATCTAATGGTTTAGTTCTATTTCTAGTGACAAGGAAGCGTGTTTCTTATGATATGAAATCTCTTTCTTTGTTTTATGACCGCTTGAAATAAGTGGCAAAATGCCTGCTTACAATTACTAAATTATTTACACTATTGGGACACTGCTTGGAAAATTACTGAACAAACACATACACACACACTTCAGATTAGAGCTGCATAGAACAATGTAATGGCCACTGGATATTTTCTGACTTGTTTCTGTATCATTAAGATGAATGTAAAATAATGATGTAAGTTTGGAGGAATTTTAGATATTGAGGATCTCTAACAAATAATGTTCTTAGATATAGAGGATATCTGACAAACACCAATCATAAGTCCCCTCTTCATGTCATGTAACTGTAGAATCTTTGAATATTCTTCTAGTGATGTTTGGAAATCAGAATCTAAAATATGATCCTAGCTATGTAAGCAAAATATACTTGAATAAAGAGATCATAAGGAAATACGTAGATGAGTTTACGGGGAGCCCAAAATGACTTTCTTGTTATGAACTCCTGGTCCAAACTGAAAATTTCAGTCATATTATATCTCATATTGGGATACAAGCTATTCGGTATAGTGACAATTCTGATTTGGGGATTTGTATTGGTCAGCATTTATGCTGCCCTAATGTCAAGGGCATACATAATTCTTTTATGTTAACACATTGCAAATAAACCTGAGAGATTTACAACTATTATTTATTAACTCTCAGGGTATACTTGTTTATTAATATTGCTATCTTCCTAACATCTTAAGAATAAATGTATTTTGAGCTTGTCTGAGAATGGAATAGAAAGTGTAAATGTGTAGTTGTAATAGTTAGGGGTGAGGTTGGGAGTAAGAAGTAAAAGTCGCAAGGACACAGAATCCTATAGAAAATGATAGAAGTTTCATGCAGGCTTCTGAATTTGGACACCATTTATGTATTTCTACCTTTTTAAAAAACCCCACATTTTTATTGATTTCAGAGAGGGAGAGGGAGTGAGAGATAGAAACATCACTAATGAGAGAGAGTCATTGATCTGCTGCCTCCTGCACGCCCCCTACTGGGGATGGAGCCCACAACCCGAGCATGTGTCCTTCACTGGAGTCAAACCGGGGACCCTTCAGTCCACAGGCCGATGCTCTATTCACTGAGCCGAACCAGCCACGGATGTATTCCTACCTTTTAAAGGATCTTAGAATTTTATCTATACAAATCTAGAACTCAGATTTTGCTTATTTGGCTTCTGGTTCTAATTTTTGGCTCTTCAAAGAACCTGACTGTAAGTGACTCAGTATCCCTTACTACTTACTGGAAAACCCAACTGCTCATCTTCATCTATTCCATCCTGACGGTCCCCACCCCCCTCCTCCCCCCCCCAAAAAAATACCCTCAACTTTGGTACCATATTAATGGTTTTTATTAATTAAAAAGTTAAAAGACAATTAAAGCCTTTGTGGATTAGCCTTGAAAAGATTTTTGATTTGTTATTTTTCTATGTAGCTCTAATGAACAGACTTGACATTTATATAGGTATCACTTTTTATAGAACATTTATTGAAACCTAATTTATTGCCGATTAATTTCAAACGATCCTGCAAACATGGGCCAAGTTCATGGGCTTGCTTTTTAAAAACGGGTCACATTACACAAATAAGAATATGACTTTATTCAGAAAAATCTTTAAAAAATAATGTCATTTAATTATTTAAATCTCCTGTAAGAATAGATTCTTATCACTTACATGTTTAGAGGCTTTATTGAATTTTTCATATGAAATAACATATTAAACAACTGCTTATAAAGGAGCATGGTTGAGCTAATGTTAGCAAAGACCCCAGAATCCTTTGTGTTTCACTGCATGTGAAGTGCCCTTTTCTGCACCAACATCTCTTATCCTTTCACACTTCATTATCTTTATAAACAGAACGGAGACAACATACAGAATTAATTTAAGTAAAGGTCTGCATTACAACTGCAAGCATTAATTGGCAGCCGTTTACCAAAGCACAGGCAAAAATCAATTTTAATTCTTATTTTTGGCTTTAATGGAAAGTGATTACAAAATTGGCATTTTAGCTAATACTGTTGAGATTTATGGTGAGGTGATCCTGATTAATTTTCTGTTGAATTGCTATAGGCCTTGAATATCTGCAGTAAATTGATATACTATTTACTGATACCAGGGCTGCATCAGCATTTCATAACAAAAGGCTTCTTAATGGCTCACAGGTGTATTTCACACTCCTGCTTCTGAGAGACAGGGTACTATTATTTTTTTTCCATAAAAAGACTGTTAAAAACAATCAAATTTCATACCCTTTTATTAATTGGGGACATTTTATGTTAAGGTATCTCAAATATTAGCCCAAAAGCAGCTTTCTTTTGCCTAGTTACAAGTGGCATAAAAAGGACATGATATGCTTTAAATAGACAATAGTTAATGCATGATTTTTCTTTATTTCCTCACTTTTCTTCCTTTCTTGATTATGTGGGTAGGAACTTGCCTATTGAGACTCGTCACATGTTTTTAGATCTCTTCGAAAGCAGGAAATAAAAAAGAACTAAGCTTTACAGTCCATTCTGTTCAAGTGATTTGAGTTTCAAATGCTCTTCAGCTTGCTTTAATTGTGATTATTTACTCTTTTTTAAAAAATAATACTTTAAAATTATATATATGAGCTGAAAATCTGACTTTGATGAATGCTGTGATGAGAATAAACAGCACGATGAGGGTAAGTA